CCATCCTTAACTGTCTTTCAAAGGATGTTATGGAATACTGGCAAGTTAGAGTTCAAATCTCGCATTTGACAGATGTTGAAAACGAGGTGCAGAAGATGAAGCATCTGACACAAGTTACTAGACTTCTCTCAGGGCAGTGTTCTTTCCACTTTGCTTCTTCATATTTCTTTGAAAATCTACAGATCTGCATAACTTTTTTTGGATTGAGTCTGAAGCACCAGAAAAAAAGGGATAGTGTACATCAGGTCCAGAAAAGTGATAGTAGACTCTAAAGCTTTTATGGGTACAAAGAAGATGTTGGGAAATCTATACTCAAGGCTGAAAATGTCCTGTGTTCTAGTTTACCTAGCAAAAGCACAGTAGAATATGAAAGAGAAAGAATGGCTGAAGGGAGAATGAACACTGTCTCTTGCCAGTCTGTGGATGAGACTCGAGTAAACATATCTTTTTGGGGTCTGGGAAGGCTCCAGTGTGTACCCACCACTCATGAACAGCCCTTTATCCCGCACATTAGTTTTGCTATCAGGAATGCAAAATACTTGTAAATATCAGTATACCAAATAGGATCCCTAGGTCACCTTCTTAGATGATCCAGACACTGCACCCAAAAGCAGAAATACGGTCCCTGGATCTCAGAGATCCTATGGAAATTTTAGATAACTCAAGCATGTTTATTCAATATTAAGTCTTTAGTGTTCTGTAACTATTAATACTAGGTAAATTATTCTAATAACCCTCAGTATAACAAGAAAAATAGTCATCACACATTCTGGATCTAACTCATTTTATTTTTTATATTTTAATAATTTTATGATTAAAGGAGTGAAAAACTTTATAAGAAATTTTAACATGAATTTAAGCATAGTATACCTACAATTTTGTTCATTTTCATGATTTTAGTGGGACATATACACAAAATGGAAAATATCCTATGAATGCAATTAACTTCATACAATCTAGGACATGTATGTCTTGTAAATATTTCAATTACGTGTCTGATAGATTCTAACTTATTAATTCTGATTGTTTAAACTGTATTTGCATTATCAAAATAAAACATTTAAAAAAAATTTTGAACAGTTGCTGGCTCATGATTTTGTTGAAGAATGACTATGTTTTTTGCTCCAAAATTGCAAAATATTTTTATTTTTAGATTTATAAATGCCAATTAGAATAATCAATCTAATAAGTTAAATTTCCTGACCATCTATTTTCATCCAATCACCTTTGGGTGAAGCCAGCTTTCAGTATTTGTTCACTTGTGAAGCATATAAATCTTTGTGCACGAGAATCAGTAGAGCTAAAAAACACTACTGTTCTCATTTCCTTTTAGAAAAATTGGATGGTCAGGTGGTTACTGCAAAATATTACATGATGAAATTCTTCCTGTTGAATAACTGAGTAAACATATATCCTTTTTATGCCTAGAACTATATTGCTTAGCCATTGAGCCTTATGTTTGAGAAAATCTAGGGTATCATCACATGAAGACAACCTGAAATTTAAATTATCGGATCAATTTCACTATTATCAGAGTCTATAGAGTGCCACTGTCTTTTTGTATTCATCTTTTAACAATTTTGAAATATCATCCTCTATTTTAACCTTAGTACCATTGAAGAGAAAATGAAAAATTCTGACTGCAAAGATATTATATCCTATGTTATTGTATACCTTCTTAAAAAATAATGCAATACTAATGGGCAACACAGTAAAAAAAAACCTGGATAATTGTACAATAGTAAATTCATTCCATCATCCTTAAAGGTTTATTACATCATCTTTCTAGGCAAGTTGTCTAATAGAACTATAATGAAAGCCACTTATATAATTTTATATTTTCTAGTAAGCACATAAAAATAAAAAGAAACAGGTAAAATTTTAATGGATTTTATTTAATTCAGAATATTATCTTTTCAACATGTAATCAAGATAAAAATTATTTTACATATTTATTCTAAGTCTCTGAAATCTAATGTGTATTTTGCACTTACACCACTCAGTTTTGACTAGCCCCATACAAATGCTCAATAGTCACATGTAGCTAGTGGCAAACATACAGGACAGAACAGTTTTGGACAATCCCAACATTTTTTTTTTTAAGTCTTGTTTTTTGGCTCATTGGAATTGATTGATAAATAGGGACAAAATAATTCCTATAATGGTTTAAAAAAATGTCTCATGATATGGAAAAACAAGATCACTAACTTTCCATAACACATTTAAGATGTGTAAAAGGTTTAATAGATCCTATGATAAATGTAAGAATATGAATTTTATTTTTTAAAAAAGTAAGTTAGAACTACTCAAAAAAAGAAATGAAAACCAAAATTGAGTCTAAAGAACTGTGATGATATATCAAGGATTAATCATTTTCACAGCTCTTGAGTTTTCTATTCCTCATACTGTCACCATTGTATCAAACATTGCATTTTGGGGGATCTACCATCTAGATTTCAAGGAATAAGAGAATCTTTTGGTACTCCTAACTTAAGCTGCTCCTGCCTTGCCTATACAAATGTGTATCCTTATAATGTAATTATGTTTATAAATAAGAAAAATTGATATCTTTAAAAACTACACATTGTATATGTTATTCTGTAAGGTTCATTATTAGCCTGAGGTATTACCTTATTTTCATGCCAACTAATGTTAGCCCTAAAGGAATGAACTTTCTCATTTAATAAAAATCATTAAACCATTTTGATAGATAGTATTTTATAGACCAACTCAATGTGTATAATTGAAAGGTGACATTTAACACTGTTTAAAAGGGAACATGACCCAGCCATAGCCCACCATCTGCAATGTGTTCCCATGTCCTACCAGGATGATCTGCATCCCATTCCCACAGTGCTGAGGTTGTTGCTGAGAACCTTGGGAAGATCACTAAGTTATACATTAGGAATATCTGCAGTCTAGTCCCTGTGCTAAAGCAAACTCTTCCTGACCTCAATCAAATAAAGTATTAAACCTGTGAGTGTCTCATGTGCCAAATGAGGATACCTTCCTAGTCTTCCCTATTTTACAGATTGGCTAAAATAGGAAAAGAATGATTATTTGTTCTCATATGAGAAACATCAATATTTGAACCTTTCTAATGTCTCTCTCCGTGTCTTTTCCTCTTTCTCAATGATATAAATAAGGCCAAAGGATGAAAGGACACAAAGACACAGGCACACATGCATAAACACAATTCTCAATGCATTTTTATTTATTTTTTAATTTTATTGCATGTCTTTGCAAACATAAGTGGCTTATAGATTTGCCTCTGGCTCACCAAAAGCTCATAACAAAATACAAAAAGACAAGCAACTGAAGCTTAAAAAAAGTATCACATCTATAAGAAAGAACCTTTTGAAAACATTAATAAAGCATATAAAACTTTTGACATTTGCTTAATTTTTGTACAATTATAAAAATAATAAAAAACATATTCCTTTAACATTCAACATCCCACATACTGTATTTTAGGTGAATATCAAGAAAACAAAAGGTAAATGGTTTAATGAAGAAAATTCTCCTCTCCGTTTCTGTTTTTAACCACCTCCAAACCAAAACCTTCCCATTCGTCAGCTAACTGCACTGGGCTGAAGAAACAAGAACTCCATCAAGCCCATTCCCAGTATCTGTCCTTAATATTCTTTCACCCCTTACCCTGGCTACTCCTATACTCAAGGAGTGTGTGTTGCCACCAGGATGTGAGGACAGTAATTGTGCCTAGCTTTGGGTAATGCTAAACCCATGAGATACAGTACAGGAATTTCTGAGTCCCTAGTGCCACCAGAATAGTGCTGAAATAGCTCAGAAGTCCTAGGTTTATTCAAACACAGGGCATTAGAGGAAGCCATTTGCTTTCCTAACATTGACAAGACACAGCTTTCATTCTTCCTCTTAATGAGTTTGCAAAGCTGCATGCTTGTTCCAGAAATTACAGTGCTTATTACCATTTAAACACAATAAAACTTTGAAATCAAGGACTCAGTCTCTTTAACATACAAAATTAAAAAAAAAAACTTAAAAAAAAACTTTCCCTCCCCCCCATCTTACAATTATGGCATTATTTCTTATTTAACATCATAATCTTACTAAATGGTATTTCCATTAAAATATAAAAATAATAAAAAAAAACGACCAGGTTTCAACTGTGGTTCTGAAAAACCCACTATCCCAAGAAGAGAAAAAAATAATCAAAATACAAAATATGCAATTTCACATGCAAAATATATATACACTTTTCAAATGAAATCCACACATTACCTTTTAGAGCCATATTAGGTTTTTTTGCACTTTAAAATAAAAATGGAAGCTTATGTGCAATGATAGCCTTTCATCAGAATGCATGGGAAGATTTTAGAGCTCATTAGCATATATACACAATATTTGTTTTATATTTTGAAAAAAATAAAATATGGGTAACAAAGTATGTTTCTGAAATATCTAGAGGGAATACTGTCATTTACATGTTTTCCCCAAATCTGAAGACATCTCTATTTATGTGGTTTAAGCAACAGCTTCCATAAAAGGCTTATCCCTTGATCTGTGGGGACATTTACATGTCTATGCACAGTCCAGAAGGGAGACGGACGGGAAATTAAATTCTCACAGTTACTTTCCAATAAACCTAAACTCTTACTGATCAAAAAAGAAAAATGATACAGTGATGCAACTTATGCCACAGGAAAACTGATCTCATAATTTTATATTTTCCAAATAACCATTCCTATTTTAAACTTAGAAGACAGAGAGGTAAATGAGCCTCTACATGCAGAGTTTTATAGAATATGAGGATCTTTAAAAGAAATATTTACCAAATAAACAATTATCTATCTTTTGAAAGATCTTTTAAGAACTTCAATTCATGGTTTGCTAAGTATCTTACTGTTTGGTGGAGACTCAATATTTCTGAAAGATTCCTGGTTTTCCTGGATATTCTTAATAGATATTAAATTTCACTGTAAGACTTAGGTAGATGGCATTTATCCCAATTGAGTCAACCTGAATTCTAACAAGAGTGAAAAATGTGTATTTGAGTTAGTCAATTTAGTAGTGACATTTAGTTTTAAGGCTTCTGTAATGGCAGCAAATGTTTTCCTATAAACACTACAAGATAAAGTGTCTGCTATTAAATTTGAGGGGGTTACTGATATACCCAGACACCTGATACCAGGTGTTTTTGAAGTGGCTGCCATGGACCTTTTAAGAATTTTAGCCATGACCCACATTTCTCATTCCCAACCAAAAGCAAGAAAGGATGTGCTCTTTCCTTTGGTGTGTGATAATGTGAACATGAACTTTTTCTTGTAATTGGATTAAACAGCCCCAAAGTGAACCCCATCACTATAAGGGATGTCAGTAACATAAAATACACCAACACAGAGAATCGTGTACATATGTACAGTCTCACCCACTAAAAGCAATGGCAAATACAACTGGATCTATTCAGAGCTTTGATGTGACATGTATTCAGCATCCAAAGAAACAAAAGGACTTTTACATCATTGTCACTCACAGGTACCATCAAGCTCTAGGTACCTATCACTACACATGATATACCCCTTGAGAGAAGGGTATAGATAAGCCATTCAAAACAAGTAAAAAAAAAAAAAAAAAGTCAATAAGTGCATTTCAATTTCCTTTCCTTTAAATTACATTTTAAACAATACTCAATGCCCCCACCCAAAAATATATACTGTATATTTATATATTTATATATATAGTCTTAGACTATAAGGGTGAAAATGCTTTATAAAAGTCAATGAGAGATCTCTGCAGCTTAAGGAGACACCTACCTCTGTTTTGCTCACTTCTACCTAGCTATGGCAACTTCGGTCCTGCAAGCAATAGCTTTAAAGGCTTAAAGCCAGAATCAGAATCAGATGCCAGATCAGAGGTTAGGTAAAAGGTAGTCTCTTACTGCTTGCCATAAGAAAGCAGACTGAGAAGAGGAAGGGGAAGAGCTAGGAGAACACTTTGAAGATAAGCAGGAGTGCCTTGTAGGGAGGTGGGCAGGTGGGAAGAGGATAACAAGAGGCCACATAGTGGGGCTCACTCCCCCTCCTCTTTGATGCGCTGTTGCTTGTTGCGACGAGCATCCATGTCAAAGTTGAAGTCATTCCACTCATCACGGGGTGGGAAGGAGATGGTCTGGCGGAGGGTGAAGCGCACAGCGTCAATAACACGCTCGCCCCGGGTCTCACTGGAGCCCACGCTGACAGTAGAGGCGCCGCTGGGGGTCCGCAGGAGGTGGGGAGGGGAGGAGAAGTCATGAAGCTGTCGGTGGTCCAGGATGCCCTTCCAGATGGCATGTCGGAATTGCTCAGGGATTTTCAGACTTGCCAAATCCTATGCAACAGGGAAGGGAGTCAGGGAGAATGAGCACAAAGAGACAAGTGGACATTTACTCCATACCCTTTTGTCCTTCCCTGGTGCTCTGGTTAATTGATCTGAATTTATTGATCCCTAAACTGGAAAATAAAATGAGCTCTCCGATAGTCTTCAGCACTATACGTAACTAAGCACATAAGCACAGCCTTGAGATGCCATCTCTGCTTGTGGGTAACACTTCACTATTTTCTACTGGCCTCAGATTCTCTATTGGTAAAATGGGGATAGTAGTTAGATGAGAGGTCAAAAATCCCAAACAGAAACAGAAGGTACTTTCTGACTCTTAAGTCTACCTGGTTCTAGTCACTAGAAGAAAGGTATTAATGAAATGTCACCACCACTGGGTTGAGGAGATGAGAAAAAAGGACCGTCAACAGGGATCGAGCACTTTCTACATGCCAGGCACTGAACTAATTACTTTATGTTCATGATCTCATTTAATCCTCAGATTAGTGGTAGATGTTATTACACCTGTTTTATAGTTAAAAAATACTGAAGGTCAGAGAGGTTGACAAGTCACACAACTAAGTGAATAAAGGACATCCTCTGAGCCTAAAATTGCCCTATTGGCCAAAAGGTCTCTTGGTGTTTAGATAAACCAGGGTATCAAAATGCAAGACAATCATACCCCTGTTCTATGAGTGGGAGTAGAAGGCATTAGAAATAGAGTCAATCTTAACTACCATCAGCTCTTCATTAGCTTGTTTCAGTGGTAGCTCACATTTTGTATGGAGAAAATGGTGAGCAGAAAGCACACTGTGCTCGGAGTCAGAAAACCTTGGCAAGAGATTCCTGTTCTGTCACTGCCTGGCTATGGAACTCTAGCAAGTCACTCATTCTCTACTGGCTTCAGTTTCTTCATTGGTTAAAAGAGATAAATTTGCTTTTTAGGTCGACATATATTGTAGACTTATATGTGAAATGTGGCTATGAAAGTTTCATAACTTATAAAACATACTATAAATGTTAACCATTCGTACTATTATTATGTTACATTATTAATTCATCTTTGCATCTTACAGGGAATACTAATGAAAAACCCCCAATTTAATCATATTCCTCTTCCAGGAAGAGATGCCAAGTAACTCAGACTGGTGCTAAGAGTCAAACTGAGAAAGAGGTGTCTACTTCCAGAAATGAGCAGGAAGAAGCCGAGGTGAGGATAAGAAAATTGTATAGCTTCCCAACCCTTCCCAATTCAGAAATTAGCAGTATAGTGTCATACTTTTTCTGTGGTGTAAATTTTCAGGCCATTAGAGGTACTCTAATTTCTTATTGCAGCAGAAAAATACATTACAAAAGAGATAATCCACAAATAGACGAGTATAGCTCTATATGCTTCTTGGACTCTTTATACTTCTGAGACTCCAAGTCCGTAGCTTTTTGTAAACTAGGCTCCATTAATCTTCACAACTCTCTGGACAGGTTTTAACTGTTGACTGACAGGTGAGAAAGCTGTAGCCTAGAGACTGGCACAAGACTTAGTCAACACCAGCAGAGATGGACTTACGGAGAGTATCTACAGATCCTAATAGACAAGGGAGAATCCTGACACACTCCCCCATGGGGAATACTGAACAAATGAAAAGGATGACTCTAAAAATATAGGGAAAAGGCAGATTTCCTGTTCCATCAGGTAAAACTCTACTATAGGAGGCTCCTGCAAATACGGGGTGACTCTGTTCTCTTCACTGGATGGAAATGATTGAAAAGTTCTCCGAATACTGTTGGAATTTCCTCTTAAACCTTTCTCTATAGTTTTCACTTATACTTTATTCTGTCAGGGGGCAGCAGCCAGGTTGACTTATGGGTGGAGGAAGGGAGGGCATAGGGCCAGCACAGCATATACTTGTCACCACAGGGCTGGGGCATTCTCAGGCTGCAGGGGCATCCTAGCATCGGTGCTCAAGGAGGGGAAAAAAAGAGGTTCCAACTCTAGAAGCAGTAGCAGAGCAGAGACTATCTTCCTTCACCAGTCTGAAGTGCCATCTGGAAGCTAGAGGAGAGGATAGTGAACCCCAAAGAGAGCAGCACAAAGAGAAGCCTGTGGGGGGGGGGGGGAAATCAGACTGCCATAAACCAGAGCAATACCAGCTCCCCTGTGAGCAGGAGTTCAAGAAGTGGTGTAGGAAGCAAGAAAAAGTCGCCTTTCATCCAGCTTATTTCAAAAGACAAAGACTATCAAAGCCAGAAGAGAGTGATTTTGAACCCAATTTGATTCACTGAGACCCAGGGAGACAAAGTGATAACCCCAAGTTCTCATTGCTATTAAATAGCATGGTTGGGACCTGAACTCATGGCCAGTGATCATTCCCTGGGTGGCTGGGCCCTATTGTGATAAAACTGAAAATGAATGAAGGAACATATACTTTTAATTGAAAGGAACATTTGAATCCCCCTTTAGGTCTTTTTTTAAGGTGATGCAGAAAAGGCTGGTTAATAAAGTCATAGACTAGAAGCTTACACACCAGGGTTCTATTCCTGGTTCTGTCATCCACTCATCATGGTAAATGACTATGACTATTGTCACCTCTACATGTTTTTAAGTAAGAATAACAGCGCCTGATTCCTTCTATTCTCCTGGGGACTTATAGAAATTAATGAGACATCCCAAAAATTCTCTGCATTCTTTAGAGATCATAAAGTTCTTGATGTTGGGAATTGTTTCTCTTCTTTCCCATTTTGCATATAGTATGAGTGCAACAAACCATTGCTGACGGATCAGACAAGCTGAGGAAAAGTGATTGCTGACCTTCCAGTACGCACAGGTTGAAGCCTCAGAACACTTCTAATATGGTTATAGGTTCCATCAAAATTGAGGATTAGGGGCATGCCAAAAACAAATTTTAAAACTAGCAAGGATAGAACTACAAGGCCAATGTCACCAGAAGGAGGAAATAAAGAAACAAAACTCAAGAGAAAAGTCTAACAGTTACTTACATCCATGGAGTAATGCTCAATCTGATAGATGGTGGTCAGCCCCTGGGTCGTGAAATATTCCAGACATGATGAACAGCCCAACCTCGCTAAGAAACTGCAGAGGGAGGAGGGAAGAGGAAGGAGGAAACAGAAAAAGAAAGTTCACCCCAGCTGCACTGGCGAGATAAAGGAAAACCCAACATTTTGCCCTTGGATGCTCTACATAAGAGACTAGGGGCGGATAAAATATATGTGGGCCTTGGATTTGAGGTTTGGCGATTATTAGTGACTTGAACTTCAGGTCTGTCGAAATTAAAATCAACTATAATAATTCTGGCAGATCAGCGATTTTCAAATGGTGATCTGTGGAATTCTAGGGTTCTGTGTAAGTGCCTTAGGAGCCATTGCAGGGGGTGAAAGAAAGGAGTCCAGTGGTCAGTTCCCAGCCCTCTTGCCTCCTTGCTCTTCATTCCAAAATGAGCATCTCTATTTTAATTATTTTGTATGTGAAGTTTCTGAGAATGTTTTATGTGGTTAAGAAAAAATCATAGGCCACTGCTCTATGAAGTCATTAATCCTTTGTGATTTATGTCCTCCTTAGACTACAGATCTCCTCCTTTTTGTTGCTGGTCTGAGACTGATGGTGGCATGGTCACAGGGCCAGACCTGGGTGGGATAAGCCATGCACTTTGCCATCTCTTTGACGGGCACTACATGAGCATTAATACAAATCATTCCAGCAGCTAAGTGAAAGAACCATTCTGCACACAAAGCAGAGGCAGAAGATGAGCACTAGGTGTGAAATTTGGAAACCTGCTCTTGCTTCTGTGGGAAACAGATCTTTCAGGCTTCATGCATTTTTTTCTTTTGACCCTCTGAACTCCCCTTGCCTGGAGTCTCCCTATTTCCTATGTGAAGAGCACGAGAAACCATGAGGTTCTTGAAAGTTCCTGCCATTTTTGCTAACACTACAACCTTTTTATGGTCAATCAACTCCAAAATAATGGTCCCTGGAAATGGCTGAGAGCTATGAGGCCTAGAGAGCAGGAAAGGGAGCAAGAGAGCAAGTTTTCTGCCCTTTTGGGAAACCCAGCCCTGAGCACCAACTTGAGGGCCACAACTGACAGTGTAAAAGTGTGAGGGAAGAGGGAGTGAGTGAAGACGGGGAAAACAGACATGAAAATTATATGCCTATAATCACACATTTTCACTTTTTCCCATGCTGATGATAGTTTTCCTTGATTAAACACAGTGCTGACTACCCCATAGATCAGGGATAATAGTGGCTGACCTTCAAACATAGGGCTGCTCGCTTTCTCTCCTTCCAACTGTTTTATCAGCTTTGACAGTATCTGCCCTCCCCCACCCAGGATGCTTAGGACAGGCCCCCAGGGGCACATGCTGTGGACTCACCTGACAATGCTGCAATCTGTGGGGTACGGAGGTGGGGGGGTGCAGTGGGAGGTGGACGGCATGGAGAGTGGGGGAGGGAGGGCCTGGGTGGGGCTGAGTCCATTCATGTCTCCAGCCAATGGCATGTGGGTGCTCATCATAGGAACTGAACAGAAGCAGGAGGAACAGAGAGCGTTACTGCCGTCATCACGTACCAGCATCCCAGGGGTCCATCTACCCTGGTTTAATGTTGCCAAGGGCTAAACTACCAACCTTCCTCTTCAGTGTTATCTCTCACTACACCCCTCCAAGCACTCTACATCTAGTCACATAGAATAGTCACCAGAATCCAAACTCATTTCACACTTGTTGACCTTTGCACTTTGTCCTGACAATCTTTTCTCACCATTTTCCCTGCTTCTAATTCTTTGTCCAATTGCTTGTCACTCCTAATGTTAATATGGTCCTCCTTGTATTTGCTTTCATGGGTAAATGAAGAAGGAGATTAGATCTTGTACATGTCTAGTCCCCACAGACCCTAGCACAGTGCCTGGCACAGAGGAGATGCTCAGCAAACTTAAGCTAAGTGAACAAATGAACAAACCTGCAAATGAGAGAGTGACCTTTAGAATATTTATTGGGGAATGGAAGGAATTACTGTTTCATTTTTAGGGAACCATACACCTAAGAAGGAAGAACACAACAAAAAATTTTAACTCTTTCTTATGCTCCATTTCAGCGTAGTATGCAGAAACGCCACCAAAACCTACTGGTATTTTACTAAATTATAAACTGCAAACATTCACTGGTAGAGAACAAAGTATAGTATTTATGAAATAAACTTTGCCTTCAAGTCAAAAAAAAGCAAAGTAATTTATCTACAAAAAGGTGAATTTAATTTGTTTCCACTTCAGTGAACAGTAGTGTGCCGAGGGTAACCGGCCTCCGCCACTAACTAGCTGGCTAGAGGGCATAGCCCTGTCCCATCTCAACCCGTTTCCCTTCTGAGTACATCAAAGGATAACTGTGAAGTATAAATAAGAAAAAGCAGGCAAAGTGTAAGTTACACAAATGTGAAGCATCACCACCATTACCATTAGTTTGCCATCTCAAGAAACAAGTCGAGGACTCTAAGATATCACAAGAAAGAATACAGTGGAAAATGAATGGTTTTTATTCCTTTTACTGTCAAAATAGCAGACCTGTCAAGGGGTCAGGTTTTGAGCCTTAGAATGCATGTATCACTAGTGAGAGAGCAATCTGGCTCTAAAGTCCTTGTTGTCACAACAGGCAACCATACCACATACACCTCTATCTCATTAAAATAGGAACATGTGCCACCACACCAGAGAGAGACACAATTCTAGCCTCCCATAACTTCTTTCAGAAAGCCCAGGCTTTTTACGGCAACACTGAAATGCAAGTTTAGATGCTTGATCAAAATAATTAGGGATTTCAAAGGACAAGATCCAGGGTACCTTTTTTTAGGGGGTGGAGATTACAGGATACCTGTGCAGTGTTTAGTGTTCTGCATCCCTGAGAATATTATTATACATCCTTCTATGTTCTTACCATCCTTTTTTTCTTTCAAGATTATGCATCCACTTTGCTAGATTTAGTTCTAGCGGGCAAGATAATCATATTTATAGCAAAGCTACAGACAATCATCGTCCATTTGGAGGCCCAAGTCTCACAAGGCTTTTTACATTTATAATTAGTTGACATGAGGAATTTGTGTGAATAAGCATATTTATAGCAAAGCTACAGACAATCATCGTCCATTTGGAGGTCCAAGTCTCACAAGGCTTTTTACATTTATAATTAGTTGACATGAGGAATTTGTGTGAATAAGTAAAAAGCAGAACCCTTCATAGGTCAGTTCCCTACTGAGTGTGTATGGGACGGAGTAGGTGAGTTAAGAAGGTCAAGACTGTAGGAGGATAGACTCAAAAAATGTTAAACGTGCAGAGTGGTAATTTTATGGATGAAAAACTGAACATTACAGCAGAGAAGTGACTTGTCTATAATTATGTAACTAATTCAGCAACAGAGTCCAGACCATAATGTATTTCTCTAGATTTTAAGTCTACCACACCATGTTATTTCCCACACGTTGGATACATTTCCTTTTGACTGTCTTAAAGATTGCACAAGGTGGTTGTCCATCAGTTTGGCTGAAAGTGTACAGTTCTTATCACTACTGAAAAAACAGCCTTCTCCACTTCTACCAGTGGGTTTTGTAAGGTACCATACACCTCAAGACTGAGAGCTTTACTGTCAGAAACCCAAGCCAGTTGACTATGATCAGATTTGTCCCCCTGTGCCTCTCACTTAGCTTAAGGACAAGCCTTTTCCCCAACCCAGAGCAGAGTCTTTTCTTATACCAGCCCTGTTCATCCTTCAGGTGCACCTAACGGGAGGTGCTCTTACTGTTGGCTCCCATGCCATCAGGAATGGTGGTCGGAGTGAGGGCGCTGCGCTGCTGAGGGTTGATGAGCTGGCTCACGGAAGGCAGCTTGTTCATGCTGTTCATTTTGTTCAGAGGTGGGGAGCTGTTACCGTATGAAGACTGAGACTGCATCGAGGTCCTAGGAACACGAACATGGAAATGATGGTGAGCATGGGACTTGAGGAATGAGGACTGGTCATTTCCAGCACGTCTAAGATTAAAACATGTCCTCAAACTGTACACTTGCAAAATATTCCTCCAGGATTGATGGTCAGTTGTTAATTTTGTTTCCATTTCAGAATATTTCCTGACTAGACAGTGATTGCAAGGCTGTCATCAAATCATATTTTTCCTGAATGTGCACAGTACAGAGTTTAATATCTTTCTCAAGCATCTCCTTTGTGAGACAGAAAATAATTGCATCTTTCTTTTTCCTCCATTGTTTCCTCCATCTTCTTCCCCTCTCTTGCCCTTCATCTCAAACAAGACTGAAAACTAGTAGGGAGAAAGAACAGAGCAAAGACATAAAGGCTGATGAAAGACACGGAGATCCCAAGCTCAGATTGCAGCTGAGGCATTCCATCTGCAGCTTCCTAGGCCATTTGGGATATTCAGAGGCCCCAAGTTGGAAACATGCTTTCTCAGCTGAGATGTTCATGGGCCATGAGAAAACCCATCCTAATGCCAACAGCCTTTCTATGAAGTAGAACTCTGAAGTCCAAACAACTGTTCTGTTGACTTCCCACAAGTCTCCCAGGAGAAATGGGAAATCAAAACAAAATACACAAAATCCAACAGTTTTCCACTCAGTATAGCCTCCAACTTGGCAATTTACTAGAATGGTCTGTCATATTATGTGTTACATTACAGATGATTTTCCCTACTTGATATTCATTCCTGACTTTCCTATTAATTAGAATAAGTGATATATAGTAGAATGAGAGTCAGAAAATCAAAATTTAAGTCTTCCTCTAGAATATATGAGGAAGCTATAGGTCTCTGTGCAAGATACTTAAAATCCTTGCCTTCATTTTCTCAAAAAACAAAACAAAAAACACAAACTACATACATACACCCTTGCTTCATGAATTAGATGTGAGAGCCAGGTAAACTAAAAAGAAATGGGGCCCATCTTTTGATGCTCACAGAGTAGTAGATACAACAGTAATAATAATCCCTCCTCCCCTGTAGGACTGTGATGAGAACTGAAAGAGAGAACATGAAGAGGAACTTTACAGACTATGTGGCACTTACGGTAATTACTGTGCCTGCAGAATGAAGACTTGGCTTTGAGCAAAATGTATTATTTTGTTTCTTTTTGCCTCCTTCCGGCTGCAGCCATATTTACATTAGAGGGCAGATAAAAAAAATTTTGGGGGGGAGTTTTATTTGTGTGTGTGTGTGCATAAAATTTTGAAGGCTCTGTAAATGAACGCAGGTCCCAAGCAAACATGGCATAATGATGTTTAAAAAAATTTTTTAAAAAATGGCTGTAGCACTTGGGTGGCACAGCAGGAGCATTGGTCTTTGAAGGTGCCACTCTGAGTTTTATTTGTGTGTGTGTGTGCATAAAATTTTGAAGGCTCTGTAAATGAACGCAGGTCCCAAGCAAGCATGGCATAATGATGTTTAAAAAAATTTTTTTAAAAATGGCTGTAGCACTTGGGTGGCACAGCAGGAGCATTGGTCTTTGAAGGTGCCACTCTGTATTCTTCGTGATTACATGGAAACAGGGAAGACCCAATTCCATATCACTGAAGAGCCACAGCTGGAAGAATGCAAACAATACACTATACATAAATTTGCATAAATGAGATGACAACTAATGTATAACTAACAGTTCAGCGGCATTTTACAATGACTGCCTTTAAGGTAGGTGGGCATTGATTTTTCTATTTAGCCTTTCTCAAGTATTCACAATTATAGACCCAAATTGTACGAACAGGTGTTTACATAATAAATTCTCCCAACTGCAAAACACTTCAGGTTACCAAGCTCTCCTTTATTCACGTTCTGAATGATTGTCACAGCACCCCTGTGGAGCAGGTCATGATATGGCAGGACAGGGAATGGCAGAATGAGGAAATATAAGTCTTTAAGAAAAAACTATGCCCAAGGCCACATATTGCTAATGAATGAGTTAAGGATAAAACCAGGTCCCTTGGTACCCAGTCCAAGAGTTTTTTCTTTCATTGTGCAACACCTCCCCAGAAATAAGACAGTGGTAGGTTACAGGATCAAGAAATGGGTAAAGGGGTAAGAAAAATGCAGGAGACTGAGATAGAGCAGGGAGCAAGAGATGTAGTAAAGGGTGCCTCTCAGCCTATTATGAAGCACTCTGAGTCCACTCCTTCCCTGGGTAGGAGCCTTGGAGAAGAGCCAGCACATTTGGATATACTTAGGAGCAACCTTAAGTCTACACCAAAGTGTAAAGAAGCACAGGGCAAGGCAGCAAAGAGATGCTTTGTGAGATGCTTCGTCAGCTGCTGCTGCTTCAACTGTTGTGGCCCACTGCAGCGTACCAAAGATGCCAGGGAGCCCCTATCCCAGATGCAGGTCAGTCCTCTGTTACTTAAAGAGAACTTTACCTTTCTTTTCCATTCCCCTAAATCAGTTGAACCTATAGCACTTGAACCATTAATGTCCACAACTGGGAAAATAAAAACACATTTAAAAGCTTTGCATTTACCCTGGACCCTCAGCTATATTAAATGCCTTCTAAATCCTGCTACAACAGGATTTCTTCTCCCTTTCCCTTGTGGTTATTTTTGACTATTTGATCAGTTCATTTATTATTTTTCATCATAAACCACTTCATTTGAGGAATGTAGATCAGAAACCACAGAACATAGATTTTTAGAGTCAACAGAAACATCTGGGTCACTTTCTAGATCTGACACAAGCTGTTTAAGTGACTTTGAATGTCATCCAAGTCTCTTGAATCTCATTTTCTTAATCTGTAGAACAGGTATTATATTTATTCCAGAAGAGTTACTATGAAGATTATGCGGTATCTGACCTGTGATCCTCCCTCAAACCAAAACCAAAAAGTCAGAAAGTAAGAACACAGCTCTCCTCAGGAGAAATAACAAGGTATACACCCAAGGTTGTTTTCTCTAGACACTTACTACATTTTTCTAAAAATTCAATGTGACATATATAGAAAGATGTGTCTCATATTTTTGGTTTTGAGGAGAAATCCCAGTAAAGCCAAGTCCAAGTTCTTAACTCTAACAATGTTAAGCTTCTGCACACATGACTAAGAATAAAATTCAGAATTTCAGAGCTAATAGTGGGGTTTTAGATAATCCAGGATTAGAAATCAGGTTTACTGATTCCAACTCTAGTGACTATTATGTGGTAGAATGTCAAAATTTTTGAGAAGTCGCAAATTCAAAGTTATCTATGTGGTGAATGTCAAAATTTCTGAGAAAACACAAGTTACTTTCTCCACCTTTCAGGAGACACCTAGAATTCCACTAGACTCCCTCTTTTGGCACAAATCTTCCATTGCTATTTAAAAAAAAAAACAACTCTAAAAGAATTTGGTGGTACATCAGGTTAAATCTGTTTCTCCAAACCATTTCTGGAGTGTAGAATTTGAGAGGGGAAAAAGGATGTATACTGGGGGTATAACAGAACATACCTGGTATAAAAAAGACCCCCAAAAAAGGAAAGGCAGGGGACGTCAGAAAAGGAATTGTTCCTCCTCTAAATTTTGCTCAGTACTGCCCGGCCTGTGACCTTTCTCTCTACCTGGGAAATCCTGTTTCCAGAAACAAAGGGCAACATTTATTCTGTAGCTAACAATCATAATTTTCAAGTATTTTCCATCATTTCAAATATGTGCATTTATATAAAATTATAAACTCATCAAAAACTTACATAAAAACAGGCTGAAAGAAAAAAAAAACTTCTAAAAGAAAAAGCAAATATTAAGCTAAAACATACTCACCAATCCTTTCAGGGATTTGGGAATGAAAGGATTAGACTAATTAAAAACACTTTATAAATGTAACAAGATTATCTGATTTTACTAATATACTTTTATCTCAAACATAAAGTTATTATTTAAGTATTTATCTAAGCTCCTAAATTATTTTATGCAGAATAACTTCTTATGAAGTTCTTACAAGGAATTAGTCAAAGCTTAGAACATACTGTAAATTTTTTAAAAAAGCATTGGACAACAGGTTCCACTACAGATTTTTGGCAATTATTTTATGCAGAATAACTTCTTATGAAGTTCTTACAAGGAATTAGTCAAAGCTCAGAACATACTGTAAATTTTTTAAAAAAGCATTGGACAACAGGTTCCACTACAGATTTTTGGCTACATATTTGCTAATGCCTATATCATAGAAGCCAAATTATTTAATAAATTTGTACTTGATTTACATTTATTTCAGTAAATTCAGCAATATAAGATACAAATTGAGGCTTGTTTAGAGATATCTAAATGATACTATGGTGCCTAAATAACCATGATGAAATTAGACACTTATAGAGCTAAAATATTTTTTTAAGTTAGTGTAGGCATTGCAATTAATTTTTAGGATCAATAATCTTGATACAGAGTATCTTAAATAGAAACACTAAATATTGAGAGAAGACATGTAGACAGGATCGAAGTGACTGTTCTATTATTCTTGTTCTTTAGACCTATATGATACTTCAAGCACTTACATGAGAATATTCTAGAACTTAAGAAAAAAAAAAAAGGAAGAGAGACAGAAACAAAAAAATGCAAGATAAACCAAGATGCAAAAGTTTATTGAAAATTAAAATCACACATCCATAAAGCAACAGCCTCAATAACAAGAATCATTGTCTTAACAGAGAATACAACACTGATGATCTGTTTTGGGGAGATGGGGAAGGGAGGAGATTTTTAAAGTCTTTATGCTATTATTTTAAAATATGTATTTAAATGGAAAGAAATAGAGATTCTCTAACTAAAGTCATCTACTCTTTCTATCTTTAATTTCTAGGCCAGGAGTGTTGATTTTAGCATGTGTCTCCTTGGACTTCACTTAATCAAAACCTAAGTCTCTTGGATAAATGCATTTGAACAGTGTCTGTAATATGGTAGGTTTTATGGTTGGTAGAATTTAGGGCTAGGAGCTCCAACTGAACAAA